GGGCCGAATCCAGGCTGACGGGATCGCAATTGAAGAAACGGACATCAGAAATTATTTGTGCTCTTGTTCCGTGAATCGGTTCGGAGCTTCGAACATTGAACGGCAGTTTGATCACAGCGGTTTGGGATTGGAAAAAACGGTTGGTTTTATCAATTTCTCCGCTATGCTGCAGCGGCTGAAACGCTTCAATTTGCTGGAACACATGGTGGACGTTTCGTACGTAATATACAGAAACCAGCATTTCGAGGTAAGAGATTGCAGGCGACTTCATTGTCGAAGCCAGAACGTCCCGGGATATCGCTAGGGTGCCCGTTTATTCTTGTTTCTGAGCGTCATGACAATGACTTTCATGAGATGATTCCCGCGTTCCCTCCCTTCTATTTCTTTTATCACCTTCTTCCATGTGTTCCACCAACCCAGTGCAGCATTTCGTCGCCCCATAAAGTCCACCAAAACCTCCAATGAACCGTTCGCGTGCGTCCCCATCATTTTCGCCCACCCAGTTCAGTGCTTTGTGACCCCATAGGGAGCTCCACCGAAGCTCCCAGTGCGGGGATCGTCTACCACATCTAAGTTGGCATTTTCACCTACCTAATACCATATTGGGCCACGAAGCGCTGTATTAGGCGGGTGAAAATGCTTGTGTGAAAGGGACGCATGCGGGCAATCCCATTGAAGCGTTTCGGCGGGGCTCCTACTGGGCCGCGAAACGCTCCCTCGCACCTATTTTGTCATTGCCACCCGCCCAGTGCAGCGTCATGCACACTGCGCACCCGATTTGGCATTGTCACCCACCCAATCCAGCGCTCCATGGCCCCATAAGGAGTCCCACCGAGGCTTCCAGTGGAATAACTCGCATGCACCGCTCATTTCAAATTTGGCATTTTCGCCGACCCGGTACAACGCTTCGAAACCCCCAATGCGATTTCCCCGCATGTGTCCAATTGCGCATGTACACCCACTAGCCCCAGAGGGAGCTAATTTGATATTTTCACCCGCCCAGTGCGCCTCATGATGGGTTTTACCGACAGCCCCGGTGTTACCGCCCGCATGCTTCCCCCGCCGCCCAGCGAAATAGTTCATCACAATTGAAAAAGATATTCATAATTGTGGCACTCACAATTTCTTATGATTGGGCCGTTCGCCGAGATATTGTTGGAAACAACCCCGTGGCACATAAAGAAAGAGCACGGGCCGCGCTTGGATTGGAGTACAAAAATGTAACTAATGCGTTGCGTGCGTACCAGCAACCGGTCTTGCGAATTTCTTATTTGTAATGTGCTTGCCAGTTTTCTTTTTTTGGTCCTCTATCTTTTTCCGATATGTTCGTGTTTTGTCAGATTTATTGAGACATCTTCCACATTTATATATATATATTAATTATATATATATATATATCTTATATATATATACATACATACACACATATTGGAAAAGAAAACGGTTGGTAATAGAAGTGGTGTTTACATTATTGTAATCATGATCTTTCTTAATGCAAGCAGAAGACCCGATTATTTTAAAAATAGACCCAATTGTCATTTTTTGGTTTCGTGAAACATGGTTATATTATTGATCCTTGCGATTCATATTCCATTACATGGGTTTTGCAATGCTTTATGGGTTGTTGAGTGTTGGGGGGGAGGGAAAAAAAAACTTAGGCGTGCCATTTCAGAAACATGTAAATATTTCTCTACCTTTCCCGTCTCCCTAAAAAAAACTACGTGTGTTTAGAACTATGTAAAATTTCAAAACCAAGGCGTTTATGTAAAAATGACAACCCCGTCTTGTCGCTTGCCTCGTAAGGAGGAAAATCTAGTGTTCTTCTGGGTTGCTTATTCTTAGGCCTTGTAAAAATATTTAAAGAAAAAATGCAAATATTCGAAGAATAATTCAGATCCTTCCCTTTCCCTGCCTGCTGTTTCGGCTTCTGTTGCGTTCCTCTGCACCTTTCCGGAATCGACCGGCCCAACGCCACCCACGCCCAATCAATTTTCTTGTGTTCTCTCCGCTTCTACCCTGAGTTAATAATTCCCGTCCCCCTAGCCTCTTCGCCACTCGTTGGATTTGTTTATCCCCCATAGCCAAAGAATGAGGGTCTTTGACCGCGCCGGACCCCTCATCATCATCCTCTTCCTCCCTCCTCCTTCTCTGCATTAAACGATGATAATGAATGTATGATGCTGATGACGACGCTGACACTGACGATGATCATGATGCTGACGATGATGAAGACGATGATGATAATGATGATGTTTACGATGAGCAAATCATGATGTATCTCCAATGGCTTGCTCGTTTTACGAGGGCGGTATCTCACGGCCTCCGTTCGTGCCCAAATGGCGGGGATATCTCAGCCGGTTTGCTTGTGTTGGTCGCGGAAATTTTCGCCCAAATTGCGGAAATGTCTCAAGCGGTTTGCCTGTTTTGGTCGCGACCATCACCCACTTTCGAACTAAATTCTAAGGATGATTCGTGCGAGGTGTTAGCTATCACGCCCTAGGCGGCATAGAGTACGAAGATGTCACGAGCAGTTTGCTTATTTCGGTGGCTAAAATTTGTCTGCGTTCAAAGCAAAATTTTAGAGTGTCTCGAGCGGTTTGGGGTTAAGTTCACGCGCAATGGGGCTCATACGCATTCAAAATCATTCACAATTAGACTCTCCCAGACCGTCTCGTTTATATTTGAAATTTCTTGCGCCTAGACGTTCACAGAGGAAATACCAATGCAAAGAGATGCGCATACGAGAGGTCCGTACAATCGATCCTTTTCACCCGAACTCAACTTTTCCACGTTTTTCCAATTCAACTATCCTTGCTCTGCTGTTTTTTTTTTCCGTGCTCTTCCGACGCTTCTTGAATGTAAACCTTCCCGTCCTTCCCCGCTCATGCGCACAGCGTTTTCCACGCTAATCCACGTTCTTTTCGCTTCATCCGCGTTCTCCCCCACGCCTCCCGAATGCCATCCTCCCTGCCTATTCACCTCAATATCACTTCCATCTCCCCTTCCCCTCGAACTCCTCGCGTACTCCTCCACTCCTTATGAATCCAAGCTGATCCATCTTCCAGCCCTTCCCCATTCCATTCTCTCATATTCGCGCTCCCTCCGCCTCATCCGTTTTTTGGGCGGGAACCGGATGAAGAAAACAAGATGGTGCATCAAGAAATTGTACGATTCCTAATCTCGGCGAGGGTGCTGCGAATGGCGGGGTGAAACATTGGAAACGGACATTACGGTAAAACTCTCGATGCGGTTTGCCTCCAAGGTCGGCGGTAGTGCCGGCGTCGGAGCCTCCCACGATCGAGATTGCACGGTTCGGTATGAGCAAAGCAACAAAAAAACATATTTGATCTGGTGCAATATTATTTTTCAGTTTATTGCCCGACTCAGTGTTGATTTGGCGTCGCACTCTGAGACAGGAGGGCTTCGGATTTGGATTAGGACGTCGCAACCTTTTAGACATCGTAATCGTACCCGTATGCGTGCATCCTCTTCCTCCTCATGGCCTCCATCTCTGCCCATTTTGTCGCCGACATCGCGGCCTTCTTCAAGGTCGGCGGCGCCGGGCATCAGGTGTCGCAATCATACCCGATATATGCGTGCATCCTGAAATCCTACCGCACCAGCCATACAAGCCCCGGAACAAATTAGAGACTACACGCCACATTCAATGTTCAAACGTGGCGGCGACTGCAATCCCCCCGCGCGTGCCAGCATTGAGTTCGGAGAGAAGGGGGGTGTTCAGTAATCCCACCACCTCTGGGCGTCGGTGGTTTAGAGCGTTTCCTCTTCCACCCCTCCTTCTTCCCCTTCAGGAAGGGGTTTACCTCTCCCCCTACCCCCTCCCCATTGACCTGGACAAAGGTGGCCGCGGGTAGTTAGAGCTTCCAAGAACAACCCCTTGGAGGGCTAAAATTCGACACCCTTCACGAGGATCGTGCCCCCCAAAAGGGGCGACGCTAAAAAATGCTTCCCCCTTCTAAGATCGATCGATGTCCTCCAAGACGGCCTCAAGAGACGTCTCGGACTCTCCTCTTGCGCCCTGCGCGCGGGCGGGCGGAGCGCCGCCCGCCCGCCCGCGAGGCCCAAGAGCCTACCAAAACTTTCGAAAATACCTCCAAGGCGCCACGAGGGAAGAGGAAGAGGCGGAAGAAAAGGAGGAGGAGGAGGAGGAGGAAGAGGAGGAGGAGGAGGAGGAGGAGGAGGAGGAGGAGGAGGAGGAAGGGAGGAGGAGGAGGAGGACGAGGGGGAGGAGACCAGCTGCCGATCATCGGCGCTCTTCGTTCGAGTGCCTGGTGTAGGATGGGCTGGTGGGGATACGCGAAGCGTCAAGAATTTTTTCCCTCTACCATATGCCAAAATAAGGAACCCTAAATAAAGAACGAGGCTCTTTTTCCCATCAGTTAAAATACAATTCCCCATCGGAAACCTAAACTGGCAAGCTGTGAAACAATCAAAGAACACGGAACCCCTCCCCAACGAAAAGGGTTCCTCTTCAGCGCCCCGATCGTATGCCCCAACAGATGGCAACATGTCACATCACCGCCACTGGGCTGTTCACGCCGCTGGGCCCCCCCGCACCGCGGCTGGCGCCATCCCGGCGCCGGACCCTCGGTCGCCGCCCGCCGCCGTTGCGCGGTCCACTGAAAGGGGCCCCGGGACACCCAAATAAATAGACACAGATAGCAGGACCATCGAGAGGTTTCCTCCTCCGCCTTTTTCTCTTCCTCCTCCTCCTCCGTTCCTTCTCTTCGTCTTCTCCTCCTCCTCCTCCTCCTCCCCATCCTCATCTTCCTCCTTCCGGCGGCGCCGCAATGGCCCCGAGCCCGCGCCGAAGCAGTAGCGATCATGCAATACGGGCCGGCGGGGTGAGCGAAGCGATTGAATAAATAGACACAGACTCCACATTTTCCAATTTTTTGGGGGTCTTTGTCTCCCCCCCACTTCCCATATTTTCCCATCTGTTCTGGGGGATCGACGATTCAGTGTGTCTTTGCGTTTTTCCCTCCTGATCCACCGCTGGGCCCCAAGCGTACAGCTGGGATTCGCCCCATCATACGAGCGAACGTAAACAGCCATGCGCAAAACGCGCGCGAGCCAAAGACATCGGCTAACAGAAAACGAGCACGTCAATTACGTGCCGAAATTGCAGAGGGACGCGCCGAACGCGGGTCTTGACAATCCAGACGCGCCGAATGCGCGCGTTGGGGGTTATGAAGGAGACAGCGATAATGAACAATGAACCTGCCAGCACACTGAAAGCACAAAAACTCACAACCAGACTTCGTCGTCAGGATTGCGGATCAAAGAAAAACGACAGATGAATCAATTCGATCCGTTTTTAATCATCGGCGAAGCACTGCGAGAGATCGGCCCTTGTGCTGAAACAACTTTCGGTTCTATTCCATCAGCATTTTGCGCCAAATCTTCTACGGAACTCTTGTTTTATAGTCTCATGTTCTTAAAGATTTGCTCCCAAGTGCCCGCTTGGCCCAATATTTTTTCTTGCAAAAGTTCGCAATCGCACATTGCATCCGTGTTGGAATAATTCGAATGTGTTCCAATGTAATTATGTTCCAACATCTGCTCTGGCCACTGCGACTGCATCCAATATGCGTTGTATGCGTGTTTCACTGCGGCCAACCAGAAGGATGTCACCTGCGTCGAGGAAAACATAATATTCTACTAGCAAACGATTGGAGCGCAACTCCCCCCAGCTTCTCTTCAGCGTTGTTGACACTCATTCGTTACTATGACAAATATGAATGGTGATAGTGGACATCCCTGTGCAATACCAGACAACTGCTTTCTTACTTGCGATATTTGGGCCCCTCTGTCACACAAAAGCCTCTTTGTATCAATATTCGATTGCAAGCATATCTTATGGCACCACGAAGTTCCCCAACGCTTCCCACAATGACGCGATCGAGCTGAATGTTTGCCCATAGTGCAATGTGTCGCCATTCGTCGGCGTGCGTAAGCTCAACGTGCCGGCGCGCTGCATGAACGGCGTCGGACGTCCCCCGTTTCCGCCTGAAGCCAAATTGGGTTGATGCGAGTCGCTTTTTAGCGCCGCCTTTTTTGAAGCCTGCCCAACAAGAAACCCGCCACCAATTCACAACCACCACCGCCACCACCACCAACACCACCCACCACCCACCAGCACTACCAGCACCATCGCCAGTCCAGCACCACCACCACAAACCACCACAAACCACCACCACCGCCGCCGCAACCACCACCGCCACCACCACCACCACGACCTACCTACCAGATCGACGTCGACGTCGTCGAAGTCTACCAAAACCTACCACCGCCACCACCACCACCACCGCAATCCACCACAACCCACCACAACAACCACCACCACCACAAACCACCGCAAACCACAACGCCACCGCCACCATTACCACCACCACCAGCACAAACACCACCACGGCAACCCATCACGCCACCACCGCCACCACCACAGCCACCACCGCCACCTCCACTACCACCTCCATAACCACCACCACAACCTGACACAACCATCACCACAGACCACCGCACAACCACCACCACCACAACCACCACCACTACCACAACAACACACCACCACCACCACCATCACCGCAACAACCCACCACAACCACCACCACCACAACCCGCCAGCACCACCACAGCCCACCAGCACCACCACAAACCACCACACCACCATCACCACGAACCACCACACAACTACCGCCACCACCACCACCACCACCACCGCCACAAAACCACCACAAACCACCACCACAACCTACCACCACAACCTCCACCACCACCACAGCCGTCGACGTCGTCCTCGTCGACGTTCCCCGCCGCCGCCGCCAGCCGCAGCAAGCGCCGGCGCCCGCCCAGAAAAATAATTCGTTTTGCTTGTCGACGCTCCCCGCCGCCGCCGCCAGCCGCCGCCGATGCTGGCGCGGGCCACAGGGAGAGGGAGACAGGGGGGGAGGGATGAGGAAGGAAAAAAGGGGGGGAGGTGTTCGAACCACCCCTTCCGTCATGGGAGCACGCGCTCTTTCCAATCAAACGTGACACTTGGCAGTATCTCTCTCTCTCTCTATATATATATACATACATACATATACGTCTATGCAGAGAGGCCTGGATAATATACGTGCGCGTGGCAGCTAAAGCATATCAAGTCAGCAAACTACACCCTTTTGTGGTGTATGAGTACAAGCCCATCCCCTAAGCTGCAATACGTATCATGCAACAATCGTAATCTGCAGTATATATACATATATGTCTATACACGCATTATAATATATATATATATATAATATATAGACACACGTATATATATATACATATATATATATATATATATATATATATATATCAGATACGTATATATGTACCAGAACCACGCGCGCGCTTCGCGCGCATACTTATAGCAGCACACATACGTACATATTTGAGAGAGCGTGATCCACCGCCGCTTTACTGTGGAAAATTGCCAACCTTTTCCTCCGGAACCCGGGGTCGCCCCCCCCCCCTCCGAAAATCCCCCCCCCCCTCCCCCTGCTGGACCCCCCCCCCCTCCTCCCGGCAAACCCCCCCCTCCTTAACCCTCCCCCCCCCCCCTCCCCCTCGAAAACCAGGGGGGGTTACTACCGGTTCGAAACCCCCCCCCACCCCCCCTCCGGATCCGGAAAACCGGGGGGGGTCACTACCGGTTCGAACCCCCCCACCCCCCTCGAAAACCGGAGGGGGATCACTACCGGTTCGAACCCCTCCCTACCCCCCCACTCACCGCCAGCAAACGACTCCCGGTCCCTACCACCGTCCGCATCACATCCTCCACTGTTGTTCCCAGCACCACTGTCCTCACCACCACTGTCCCCACTGTGTCCCCACCAGTGCCCCCACCACTGTCGCACTGTCCCCACTGTCCCCACCACTGTTCCCACCACGGTTCCACTCTCCCCACTGTCTCCACGGCCCCAACCACTGCCCGACTATCCCCACTGTCCCCACTGTCCCACCGACTCCGCCGCTGTCCCACTGAGCTGTCCCACTGTTCCCACCACTGTCCCCACTGTCCCCACCACTGTCCCCACTGTACCTCTGTCCCATTGTCCCACCGCCGTCCTCGCCACCGCCTTCACCACTGTCCCCACCACCATTGTACCCTCCACTGTCCCATTGTTTCCACCTCATTCCCACTGTGCCCACACCACTGTCACCACCACCACCGTCCCCACCACTGTCCACTGTCCCCCCTGTTCCCACCATTGTCCTCACCACTGTCCCCACCACTACCGGCCCTCTACTGTCCCACTGTCCCACTGTCCCCACCACTGTCCCGCTGTCCCCTCACCACTGTCCCACCAACACCGTCCCCACCTCTGTCCGCACCCCCACTGGGTTTTCGAGAGGGGGGGGGGGGAGGGGTTCGAACCGGTAGTGACCCCCCCCCCTTTTCATGATGAGCTGGGGGGGGGGGGGGGAGGAGCTCGAACCGGTAGTGACCCCCCCCGGTTTTCCGGAGGGGGGGGGGGAGGGGTTCGAACCTGTAGTGACCCCCCCGGTTTTCCGCCAGCAGCGGTAGAACACGCTCTTTCACATATTTACATACATACATACATACATACATACATACATACATAGATACATGCATTTACACATACATACACGTACATACATACATACGTATATACATACATACATACATACATACGTACACACATACACACATGCACGCATACATGCATACGTACATACATACACACATACACACATGCACACATACATGCATACGTACATACACACGTGCACACAAACGCACAAACGCAAACACTATTTGTTTCGCGTCGGCGGCTAGGGAGAAGGACTGCTCTGGCGATCTAGCATTCATGTGTAAACCGCCAATCAAGCCGCGGTGCACGGGGAAGAGAGAAGGACGCCCAGTGCGGGCGGCAAGGAGATGGAAGCCGGGCCCGCTCAGAGCAGGGCCAGGCGGCGGCGGGGCGGGCGCCGGGGCCGGGGGCCAGCAGCGGCGGCAGAGCAGCAGCTGGGTGGGGAGAGGCAACCAGGAGGCTGCCGGGCACGCGCCCAAGGGGGGAGGCAGCAGGTCCAGCGCGAGCACAAACACACAAACATACACACAAACATACACACACACGCACGCGCACAAACACACACACACACACACGCGCACACGCACGCACGCACGCACGCACGCACGCACGCACGCACGCACACACACGCACACACACACCACACACAGACACAGACACAGACACAGACACAGACACAGACACAGACACAGACACAGACACAGACACAGACACAGACACAGACACAGACAGACACAGACACAGACACACACACACCACACACACACACACGCACACACACGCGCACACCACGCGCACACAACACGCGCACGCACACGCACACGGCACACGCACACGCACACGCACGCGCACACGCACACGCACACGCACACGCGCACGCGCACACGCACACGCACACGCACACGCACACGCACACGCACACGCCACACGCACACGCACACGCACACGCACACGCACACACGCGCACCCGCACACGCACACAGCACACGCACACGCGCACGCGCACGCGCACGCGCACGCGCACGCGCACGCACACGCGCACGCGCACGCGCACGCGACACGCACACACGCGCACAAGCACGCGCACACGCACACGCACACGCGCACGCGCACGGGCACGCGCACGCGCACGCGCACGCGCACGCGCACGCGCACGCGCACGCGCACGCGCACGCGCACGCGCACGCGCACGCGCACGCGCACGCGCACGCCGCACGCGCACGCGCACGCGCACGCGCACACGCAACGCACACGCACACGCACACGCACACGCGCACGCGCACGCGCACGCGCACGCGCACGCGCACGCGCACGCGCACGCGCACGCGCACGCACACGCGCACGCGCACACGCTCACGCACACGCACACGCAGACGCACACGCACACGCACACGCACACGCACGCACGCACGCACGCACGCACCGCACGCACGCACGTACGCACGCACGCACACACACACACACACACGCACGCTCGCACGCACGCACACACACACACAAATTCACACATACACACACCACGCAGATACGCGGCTTGACTCAGAAGAGGGATGCTGTCGAGCTGGCAATGCAGCGTATCAGGCGGCGATGCCGCGGCGAGATCGGAGCCCGGGCACGCGCGCGCTGATCTCAGAACGCCATGCCCGTCCACGCGAGGAAGTCGGCCGAGCCGGTGTCCTGCAAGCGAGCTCCAGCTATGCACATGTGCGCGGGACACGAGGGCCTTGGGCCCCTCCTGGGCTCCAAATCCAGGCCTCGGAACAAATTAGCGAAGACACGCCACATTCATCCATCAACGCCTCCCCCTTCCCCCCATGTTCAAAATTGGCGGTGGGTCTGATGAGATGCACTTCGACCGCAATCTCCCCCGCGCGTGCCAACATTGAGTTCGGGGGAGAGGGGGGGTGTTCAATAATTATTTCCCTCTACCGTCTGTCCGAGATCGCCGCGTTCCCCCGAAAACGCCGACCACGACGTCCCCAATGCAACCTCAGTCGATCGAAATTTTGGCCAGCGCCCACATGCAATCAAACGACTACCACAATGCACGCTAGAGTACTCGGCGCGGAGATCTCTGTATGTGCACCTGATTGTCTTGCACTTTCCTTTGCGAGAATCTGGCCATTAGCGAGTGCACGCTAGAGTACTCGGCCGGCGCGGAGGTCTCTGTATGTGCACCTGATTGTCTTGCACTTCCCTTTGCGAGAATCCGGCCATCAGCGAGTCTCCGCAACCTGCTTGCGAAGGAGCCCCTGATTGTCCTCCCTGGCGAAGTGTAAAGATCACTAGCTTCGCTGAGGTGATTAAGAAGCTCTGAAAACAAACTCGACCAATGGGCCAAAGAGGCGTTTCGCTGGATACCCCCCCACAATCTGTGCGTGACGGGCCCTGTGCAACGCCCTGGAGGGCTCCCCACTGGGCGTCCCAAATGGCACGCCTGCTACATCACGGGGGCCGTGGGGCTCTGAAGCGAGACTCGTCCGATTGAGCCACGCAGCACTCTCGCCCGAGGCGTCCGCACAGTCGGGGCGCGAACTGGCTCGTGCAGCACCCCCCCAAGATGGCCGACACGCTACCCCTGCTGCATCGCGGGGGCCATAAGGCTGTGAAGACAGACTCACTCGTCTTTTTTGTTCGATGAGTGAATCTGTTTTTATAGCAAACAGACTCACTCGTCTACATAAGACTATGCAAACAGACTCACTCGTCTACTGGGCCAAGCAAGCGTTTCGCCAGAATCATCCCCACAATCGGCGCGCAAACGGGCCCGTGTAACATCGCTGGTCGGCCCCCCTTTTGGGGTAGCCCAAATGGTGCTATGCCTGCTACATCGCTGCGACCATGGGGCTCCGAAAAGAAGCTCATTCACTGGGCCAAGCAAACGTTTCGCTCAAACCATCCCCACTATCCGGGCGCGGAAAGGCGCGTGAACCCCCCCCCTTCGGATGGCCAACGTGGCATGCGTGCTACATCACGGTGGTCATGAGGCTACGAACACAGACTAACTCGCCCCCGCTGGGCCAAACCAGCGTTTCGCCCGCCCCCCCCCCAATCTGGGAGCGCACGGGCCGTGCAACACCCCTGGTCGGTCGCACCCCCTTCGGATGGCCAAGATGGAACTCTTGCTGCATCGCGTTGGTCCTGAAGCTATGAATGGGAGACTCGTGCGTCCCCACACTCTGGGCGCGAACGGGCCCGTGCACCGCCCCCCTCGGATGGCACGAATGCCGTGCACCCCTGATCGATCGGCACCCCTCGGACGGCTCAAATGGCATGCCTGTTACATCGTAGTGGTGATGAGGCTATGGAAAGGAGAAGCGCCTACTCTGCCACACAGGCGTCTCGCCCGAGACATCCCACAAATCTGGGCGCGAACGGGCCCGTGGTACACCACTTGGCGGCTTCCCCTTTGGGGTGCCTCCGTGCCATGCCTCCTAGGTATCATTGGCCAACTGGTCTGCGTGTGCGCGAGTCGGAGTGTGAACGAATGTTGGTTGGTGCGTGTGGTTCTATAATTTGAATGTTTGCGAGTCTGAGTGGGAAGGGGGCCTGGGTGTGCGTGAATCTGAATGGAAGTGAGCTTGGGTATGTGTGAGTGCATGCACGTGCGGTTGAGCCTTCATATAGGCGGCTGTGGGTGAATCTGCGTGTGTCTAAGTGCGGGCGGAGCTGGTTCGGAAACGTGTGAAACATTGGGGCATATTGCCACGCGCCAGCCAGCCTGACGCCAAAGTGCAACAGGGCATCGGCAAGCTGAAGCAACGCAACTGGTGCTGGACATGCGCCGAAAAGGGCAGCCCGGAAAGTCCTGGCAGGGGTCGATGGGGCTGATCACGCGTCGGCGCAGACAGATTTCTAGGGCCGCGTGGCCGCGCCACTACAGTCGGGGCCCTGAAGAAGGAACCCTTTTCGTTGGGGAGGGGCTCGGTGTTCCTTAATTGTCTCGCAGCTTGTCTTAGGTATTCCTTAGGTCTTCCATGGAAGATCGGAGTTTAACTTATGGGAAAAAGGGGCCTCGTTCCTTATTTTGGGTTCCTTAGGTCAACGCCCCGACGGTATGGCAGAGCGAAAAGGCTCGATTCCATAACAAAAACAAAGCAGGCTGAAGGAACGCGCAGGCACGCGCTCGCTTCCCGGCAGTCGTGGCTCCGCGACGGAAGGCAGGCTGGAGGCGCGCGGGAGCGCGCTCGTTTCCGAGCAGTCGTCGTTCCACGTACAGTCATCGGCCTGACCAAAGGAACGGTAAATGAGGAACGAAGCCCCTTTTTCATCCCAAGGGATAACGCATAAGAAATGATAAATAATACATAACGCAAAAGGAACTGTGCATAACGCATGTAAGCCTAAGGAACGGCCGAACCCCTTTTGAAAAGCAAGCGTTCCTTATTCAAGCCGCTCACTGTAAGCTCTGAGATGGGCCAGAAAGAGGGCCCACCCTCCATGCGCAGAACGGCCCCAGCTGAGCAATCCCTGAGACCTCATTTGCCCATCAGGGCGTTTGAACAGCAACGGCAATCAACTATCGGCGATGGGAGTCTTGCCGCGAAAGGTCCGAACGACCGAACTGGCATCGGTCGTAAGGGATACCTTGATACAGAGGCTACCTTGTTCGCCAATATGTTAGGAGCCCAGGGGGAGTCAGTGGTCCATTCATGAGCGCGCGTAGTGCCACTAAGGTGGGACAGCACTCGTCGGCGCTATGCGCAGCAGCGAGTGCTTCGGTAGCGTAATTGGATCGGACTTGGAGGCGGTGAGATTTACATGAGCATAACTTATTTCTTGCTGCTCGCGTCTCCACGGCGCAGAAAAATACGCCCACGAGCAACGTGGCCTTTCGTCTTGTCGTCCTCCTCTCCAGTGAATTATATGTACCGCGCTCGCTGTGCAGGCCCACTGCGCCGTTAGGAGTCATCGCGCGGTGCGTGATCCTCTTGGGCCCCTGCGGCATGTTATCTTGGTCCATGATCGCGTCGCCCTTCGCTGTTTAATTGTACCTCGCGGCACAGTTCGGTTCGTGCGCATGTGCTTATTGACCTCGCATTTGCCAAACACTTGTTCGATTTTGTGATCGTAGGCGCCTGCGCTGGCCTCCTTGCCGCACGTGCTGATGTCATCTGGGGGCATCCTTTGTACCGGTGCCCGGCTTAAGACATGCGGGGCAATGCCCGGGCTCGTCGTAGTCCTCAAGGCCAGGCGACGCACGTAGGACTGCGGCACTTCCAGGAGGTAGAATACACCATGCGCTACGCTCCTATTTTCCCGTAGCCTCTGCCAGTTCCTCTTACGTTTGGCCTTTCAGACAAGACAAGGTCTGTCTACGTCCAGGCCGACTAGGATCCAGTCTCGGTGGCAGGCCGCCTCGCTAGCTAAAAAGCGTTGGGCAGTGCGCCTAGCCGTTCCCGAGAATCTTTTCAAAGATAATGCTTCTTGGTCCAAAACCCTTTCAGTATTGGGAGAGATCGTAGAATCCTTTCGGTCTTACCGGATTCCGTCTTTACGAACTTCCACCTGGAGGTCATGACGTTGTAGGCTTGGGACAACAACTTCTCAGTGAAACGCCGGTTGTCCAGCCATATTAAATTCGGCCAGAAGCGCATTTGACACCTGTTTGGGATGATTGAGGATGTCCTTTTTGGTGGTAAGCAAGCATTTTCTTTTACGACAGCGGCTCGCTTGTTTTCTTCAGCGACGTATGCGCGCATGGTAGCTATCTCATCAAGGTGCATGACATTACATTGAGGCTCATCCAGTACTGTTTACGTGTGCGTCGATGTCGAAGTCGCAATGACCATTTGTATCTGCGCAAATAAATCGCTCATTGGCCATACCACGGACACCTGACCTTTGGTGGAAAAGAATGCGTCGTACTGGGCGTGTTCCCGCAGCTCTATGCTGTCCAATCTGAACATGTGGATATCGTGCTCGTAACAAACCACTACCCTATTGGTCGGCATGCGTGGAGAGAAAGGCGAAAAAAAAAGGTGCTCAAGTTGTTCCGACAAGGCACGTGCTTTGGCGTCCATCAACTCTGGTACCAGGTCGCGCATGATCATGATGTCTTTCTCTCGTTCGTCCTCGCCTTCTTCGGTAGTGGATCGACGGCCACCATGTCTTTCGGATTCCATACGAATCTCGGGGAAGTTCGCGTCTCCGCGTTCATCCTCGCCTTCTTCGATCGTGGATCGACGGCCACCATGTCTTTCTCTCGTTCGTCCTCGCTTTCTTCGGTAGTGGATCGACGGCCACCATGTCTTTCGGATTCCACACGACTCTCGGGGAGGTTCGCGTCCTCCGCGTTCGTCGCGCTCCCGCAGTCTATCGGCCCAAGCCTGGGAATCACGAGCTCCTCGTCGAACGAGTGAACTGATCTGGTGGAGAGAAGCACTGTGTCAGTCGAGCGTGATTGCTACCTATCGTATCGCGTATGTTGAAGGAAGTGTTGGCGGATTCGAAACAAACTGGAAGCGTGACTGGACGTCGTTTATCGTAGTAGCTCAGCGTGATGCGATGAGCTCCAGGCTAAGCTGGTAAGGAGTGAGCGATCTTAGCCACCCTGACAGCAGTGACGTTAAATTTCTAACATGTGTGCAAATGATATGTTGTAACGCCACGTGCGCTTCAGGAGCCAACTTGCTCCCTAAAGATCGCCGATGCGCCTTCTTGTGCTCTGGGACGTAGCCGGAAACAGTGAGGGCCTTTCCCGATGGAAGGGCCGATATGTGCGAGATGATGAAACGTACGGCGATGTTCTCCATGCCGGACTCCTCGATCATGACTAGATCAATAAACATGATACCCACGAACCCAGAACAAAGGGACGTAAACATGTAAAGCGTGGTGATGTTTCGAAACACCAGGCTTGGGCGACGGGCACTTGCAATGCTCAATGCAACGATGGTGATGTACCGTGCCAGGGGCTGTGCTGTGCTGTGTTGCGATGAATTGGAATGCGCCATGCCGCGCTGACCTGTGCTATGCTCTATGCATTGTGGCTCAGGTCATCCTTGGCGTCAGAATCCTGACCGGACAGATCTAAATCTTAAGCCCGAATTGCCTGAACGCATAACTCGAGCTGCTTGCAATCGAACCACGCGGGTTGCTCGACCAGCTCGGGCTCAAGTTGTGATTCAGTTCCATAGCGGGACGGGCCAAGAGGGGGCGAATCCGGACCGACGCGAAACGCACCGAGGATGGACGGACCGAAGCACGGCGAACCAAGACGCGACAAGCTGCATCAACACGAACCGAAACGATACGAAGGCCGAACCGACCCGACTCGAACCGACACAAGACAAACTTACTACCATCACTATCATCCTGGCCAGGGCGGCGACTTAGTGTAAATTGCGATTGGTACGAACTGTGCTGAAATGTGCTGCGTCATGCTGTGTTGAACTGTGCTGTTTTCTGTTGCGTTGTGGATCAAGCAATCCCTGGCGCCCCAATCCTGTCCGAAGTGATCTGGGTCGCCCAAAGGTGGCCGCAGTTGAAACGTGTGGGGCGTTCAACCAGCTCGAGCTCAAGATCCGATTCACTTCCAAAGTGGGGCGAACCGACTGGGAGGCGACTCCGAACCGAAACGCAACGCATCCAGACGACGACCAGGATCCCGCACGACGTCTCCTCAAACAATGCAAAACTAACGTTTCGCGAGAGGCATCCTCAACACATCCTGCAGGGGGAGACTTTCGCTGCGGGTCCGTTGCGCCCCAGGGCGAAACAAACGTGAAAACACATGGGTCCCTTTCGCCCAAATGCGGGACAAACGCGAAAACACGGGTCTCCCTTTCGCCCCAGAGCGGAGCAAATGTGAAACCATTCGGGTCCAGTTCGCATCAGAGCGGGACACGCGTGGAAACAACACGTGGGTCCCTTTCGCCACAGAGCGGAACACATGGGAAAACACGTGTGTCTCTTTCGCCCCAGAGCGGGACAAACGTGAAAACACGTGGGTCCTTTTCGCCCCAAAGCGGAACAAGTGTGAAAACACGTGGGTCCCGTTCGCGCCAGGGCGGGACACGCGTGAAAACAACACGTTGGTTCCTTTGGTCCCAGAACGGCACAAGCGGGATCACATATATTTTTCGCCTCAGAGCGGAGCGAAAGCGAAAACATG